GTACAATCCAACAAAACAAATCAGATATATATAAATACACCTGGTTAAATAATTATTTAATTAGTTTAACTAAATGAATATCTTTTCGTAGGAGCACTACTTCCATCACAATTTTTCTGTTCAGAATATAAATGCAATTCTATTTAAATCACTACCATTGAAAAGTTCGATGAATACAAACGAAACATTATGATCAAATAATTACTATAAATACTTTTACAAGTTAATTAACCAATTGTTGATATTGGCTAATTTTTCTAAAAATATTAAAAAAAGAAAACGTTGTAAAATCGTTGCAACAAATCACTTATGCAACATGTTGGCACAAGTGAAAACAAGAACAGGCCTAATTAAGTAAGCCAAATCTAGGTGAAGAAGCAAGCTACTTAAGATAGAGTTCTAAAATACTTTAAATGGCCAAAAGTTGGGCCAACTAATTACTACGATATAGTTCAAAAAGAAAACTACGAACAGGAACTCGCAATAGTTTGGCTACAAACTACACTAGACAGATTCCAGCAAGGCCATGGAAAGGGGGTAAACTCAAGAGGTAATTGCAGAGCGAGATAGTTCAGTTTTCCACAACAAAGCAGTTTGGCAGTCAGTCAAATAGCAGTTGCAGAGCAAAGAGCAGAGGAACAGAGTGGGTGGGTGGGTGAAGTATATATGCGTATATAGATCAAATTAAAAGCACCTGAAGAGGTAGGCGTTGGGGGGGAGAAGATGTACACCGATATCGGCCAGGTTGATTTCGCTTACCGGTTTCGCTTTGGGTTTCTGCTTGGCCAAACGCTTCTGTTTCAACATCGTCCTCAGCGGACGCACAGACACGCACACATAAACAACTGAAACGGGAGTGGGGGAAAGTGGGTGGTAGTGGGCGGTTGGTTTTAGGTGGCAGGTGGTAGTGGGCGGATGGACCGTGAACGACGGGTGGTATCCGCTTCAATTGATTTCCGCCTGCGAGTGAGGCTTCTTGGCCTGCAGGGTTAAGAAAAACAATTATGAAATATCAATTATTTATGGTTTCGCTAGTCTCGCTTTGTCTTTGGCGTGCAGGCATGCAGAAGGATATTCGTGCTGTGCGTCGGTTCTCCGGGGGATTTGTCACGTGTCATGCAGGATGTATCCCCTCCAAAGCCCCTCCCCTCTCTCAGCAAAAAGAAAACAGAGCGCCCGTTTAAAGCCCGCCTTTGTGCGTCGGCAAATGTGTAAACAAACGGCACAACAAATGAAAAACGAAAAAGAAAAAACGAGAAACGAAAAACGAAAGCCAGGACACACAAAATTCAAAACAAAATAAATACAACGCAATTTCCCATTCACCTTGCACCCAATTATGAAGCTCTCCGAGGAATGCCAATGAAAGGGTTTTTCTGTTAATGCATGCTAATTGTGTTTGCTTAGGGAAACAGGACGAGAGGACGAAAAGACGAAAAGAAGCAAGGACTCGAGGATCTCGAGCGGCGACTCACCTTGACGGGTTTCTTCACGGGCACTGGTCGCGAGTACTGGTGGTAGACCTGGACATGGTTCGATGTGAATTTACCCAACATGTGGAGCTCGAGGTGGAGAAGTCGAGGGGCGGAGGGGCAGGCGTGGTTCTGGAAAGAGTTGAATAAATTATTACCGAGACGTATTCCGAATTCATATGCAACACTTTGTGGGCGTGTAACCCCTTTTCTAGCCCTGAAAAGCTAATTGCTGAGAGCTTATAATTAGCTCAAAGTGAGGGCTTCTCTAATTGCAGCTCAACTTTGCTATTAGTTTACGGTTACTTAGTACCTTTCTATGACCCGAAACTGATTTAATTAGTTAACTAACAATAACTACTTTGGCAACTAAATCCTTTACGTGGTGAAAGTCAAGTAGAAGATCTTATGAATGCCTATGTTAGCTAAATTAAAATAAAATAAAAAAACAGCTTAAATAAAAGAAAACCTTTTCAAAAAAAATTACGATTGTGAATAAAGTACATTCGAAGTGCAAAACGATTTCTGTTGTACAAAAGGATTTGTATCCTGTGAGCTGGAAGGGGAAACCCTTTTTGGTCTGTGGGAAACCCCATATGACCTTTCCACTGTGATGAGAGCAGTGCGTGGGCAGGCGACACATGGCCCAGAAGGCTCAGACTCCCGGATCCAAATCCGTCTCAAGTGACAGGACGACCGCCGAGCTGGTCTTCATTACAGTAATGCGAGTTGGCCAGAACAGCGGACGGAGTCCTGGCCAGGACGTGAGTGGGCGGGCCGGGCCAGAAAGTGAAATAAAATAAGCGCTGGGAACAGCAAAAGTTATGCCAAGTATTCCGGCTAAGAATGAATCAAGTGCCATAACACGAGCACCCTGGGCAGACCGAGGAGCAGAAAACGAAAGCCGAAAGGCGAAAAGCCAGAAAAGCGAGAAAAGCGGGAAAGGCGAGAAAAGCGAACGGCAAAGCAAAGTGGGGCCAAAGAAAAGTCCTGGGTCTCGGCACTCTTAATTTGCGGAATTCAAGACATTCGCTTTCATTCGAGATTATGCTCCGGCATTATAATCCGCCGGAGCGCGGGATGGGTGGTACTCGCAGCCCGGGATGTGTGCACTTCGGCGAGAAAAAAGCTAGTAGACGACAAAATCAATATCTAAATACGATTTCCACCCACATGTGATTAACTTTTGTGCAGTCAGTAAGGCACAAAATTGAGATAACGCGCCATTAAATTTATGCATGAACAAAAGACATTTCGGGAAAGTACGAGGGACACGTCGGTCCTTGAACTTCCCCTAATGATTGCTCAAACTTGTAATTGGACTTTAATAAGCAATTGCCTGGCAGGCAATGAGTGCGTCTTATGTCGAATTATTCAGGTTGCTTTAACCTGTTGTGCGGCGAAGGAAGAGCGAACTGCTTGGTGGCAAAGTGATTAACTGGAGAGCGGCGAAAGCCATATCAATCGAGGATCAAGCACCGCAACTACTCGCAACAAACTTCGAGGAACTGCCAAGTTTCCAGCGGTTTTCATCCGCAATTTGCACTGAGCCATGAGGACTCTGCCCGCCACTTGAGGACTGTTCTTGAGTGCCACAATCAGTCTGCCGAGTCCGACGAGGGCGTTGGGTGTGAAACTCATACGCCAGCCCGCATTTGCGTCACTCTTTAAAGATTCCCCCACTCAGGCGCAAATGATTGCGTCGGAAAGGAGACAAGGATGAAAGGACCTGCCTCCGGGTGAACCAGAACCAGAAGCTGAAACAGCAACTGAAACAGAAACAGAACCGGAGCCGTGAGCCACGGCGTGTGCACATTATTTTCAGTTGTCCTCATTTGCTTTTTAACAGCGTGATTCTAATCCTCTTAGCCTTCTGTTGAAATGCGCCTAAAAAAGAACCGCACATATGTATTTCCGCAAAAAAGATAAGGATTGTAATTAAAACGTGTTCAGTCTCTTGTGCGAGTTTACCTAGGTGGATTGATGGGCTTATTTCTATTATGAGAGCGGAGAATAATAGACGCCTAATTCCACAAGCCATCTCTTTGTTATCTAACTAAGTGCAGAGGTCATTTACCCATCTTTAATCCTATTAAAAACATAATGGGCTTTGAATCAAGATTGTCAATGGACCATAAGCATGCATAATTTATTACTCTGCAGAAGCTTAACAAATGGTTTTCCTTTTCTTTTTTTTAAGGAGTAACCCAAACCGCTGGTAAGTGTTAATTGCACGGCTATCCGTCATCGCCAATTGGAGACTGAGGCACCTCAGTGGACACTGTCGGCAAGTGTCAGGAGTGCTCGGCTGCCAGGATGAATGGCTCCCTAATTGAGATAAGAGTGACGCAGGCTGCTGCCTCGGCGATGAGAAATGAACCATGAGCATGTGCCAAGCCAAACAGAAAGAAATAACACTTTCGCTGGCCTCGTAAGAACGGCACTTTCTCCTGCGATGACCGGGCCAAACAAATTAGCGGCCAAGAGCAGCAGCCGAGTGTCTGGCGAGCCCTGATTATTGGCAATGCAAGCGGCAGGCGGCGGGCGAAGGGATAATGGCAAGGGTAAACTGACCCACAAACACGATTAGGGCGACACAAGGACATGGCCTCGTGTCGGGGTAAATCTTTGTGTGCTCGCTGCTCCTGTTGTCTCTGCAATCATTCAAGCGCAGACAAATGCCCTGGTGTTTGTTTATGTCAACATTGTGTCCTCTGCCACTTTGACCCACCGCCACACACTCTCACATGCCTTTCATCCTCACGATTTTTCCCCATTTTCCTGTGTGTGTGTTGTTTTTTCCTTGCCAGGACATCACCAACATAATGGCTCTCATCAGCCGCAAACTGAAATCCAAGAGCAACCAACTAACTAACGAGAACCGAGGGCCACAGACCGGATTGGATAGTCGTTTAAACTGTCATCATTCGCCGTGTGCCATCAATGATTTGCGAGCCCCCATCCGAAACATTTTCCACTGGCTGGACTGGATTCTTCGGGTCCCCGAAAGAAGCCAGGGATTTATTTCTCTTTGACCGCATTAGCCAGAGCTCTTTCGGAGCCATTCATCTTAATTAAATCTCTATCGTTCGGCAATCCGATTTAGTAGTTCTTTGCCTTTGTTTTCAGGAGTTTAAACTCTGTTTTATACGGAAAACTACAGGCTTATATTATTTAACAAAGATTTCATATGCTTCGACCACTATACAATTTTAACACAAACTGAATTTATTTAGCAAAACTTTTGCGAAAGCGTGCCGCCCCGCAAAAATAATTAATAGTTAAGAGGTGGGCGTAAATCTTGTTGGCCATTAAATAAATTAAAGCAATAATAATAAACAACTTTGAAATGATTTCTCTGCATCTGCATCTCGAGGAACCAGCCATTGACTCATTAATAAAATCGGCTTTTATTATCCGGGAACAACAGCGAAATATTATTTATGGCCGCAAATGTTCAGCACATCATCGATTTCGTTTCGGCGATACTCGTATATATCTACGAAAAATACTTAATTTTCTTGCATATCAATTCGCAACTCAATAATTTTTTAATCTAATTAGGCCAATAAAAAATAGTATAAATTCAAGTTCAGGATCCCTTTGCGTACTTGAGGATGCGTTCCTCGACCTGCTGGCTGAACATCCTGACCAGACTCTCGGCCACGTTGACCTGGCTGTAGGCCAATGCGCAGATGGGTTTGCTGTTCCTGATCTTGTCGGCTATGGTCAGAGTCCAGTCGATCTCGTGTGGGTGTGTCTGCCCCTTGACGAATCGGGCAAACATCTCGGGCAGCCAAATGGCGCCATCGCGACAATAAGTGCACTGCTTGCAGGTGTGCTTCTCGAAGAACTGAATGGACCGCAGCATCACCGCCAGGGGATCGATGTCCTTGCTCATCACAATCACGGCTCCACATCCCAGGCCGCTGCCCGCCTCCGCCAGGCTGTCGTAGTCCATGAGAATTTCCCCGGCAGTGGGCGGATCTATGAGAGGTGTTGAAAGTCCTCCAGGAAACACGGCCGCGAGATTATCCCAGCCGCCCTGCACTCCGCCGGCATGGCGCTCGATCAGATCCTTCAGTGGAATTGACATTTCCTCCTCCACCGTGCAGGGGTTGTTGACCTGACCACTAACGCAAAAGAGCTTGGTGCCCGTGTTGAAGCTTCGCCCCAATCCAGACCACCAAGAAGCACCTCTTCGCAAGATGGTGGGCACCACGGCAATGGACTCGGCGTTGATCACCAAGCAGGGATGGTTGAAGTAGCCCTTCTCGGTGAGAAACGGCGGACGACGCCAAGGTCTGCCCAGTTCGCCCATCAAGCATTTGAGCATGGCGGTCTCCTCGCCGCACAAGTAGCGATCTCCCCGCTGCACCATCACGTCGAACTTGATCCCGGTGCCGCAGGCATTGTCGCCCAGCAAGCCGTGGTGGTAGGCCTCCGCCAGGGCGAAGTGCAGGTTGCAGGCCTCGTTGTAGAACCGGTTGCGGATGTACACAATGGCCCGGCCGCAGCCCATGGCCACGCCCACCAGCAGCATGCCCTCGATGAGCTTGTGCGGCTCGTGGCGCAGGATCTCGCGATCCTTGCAGGTTCCCGGTTCCCCCTCGGCGCAATTCACGATTATCACCTTGGGTGCATTCTCGGATTTCGCATGCCGCAGGAAGTCCCACTTGTGTCCGACGTAGAAGCCAGCTCCTCCGCGTCCGCGCAGTCCGCTCTTGTTCACCTGCTCCATGATCCATTCGGGACCCAGCTCCAGGAGTTCCCCGGTCCGATGCCAGTCCCCCCGCTCGCAGGCTCCCTGCAGCCGCCAATCGTGGCGGCCATACAGATTTTGGAAGACCCGATCGCAGTCGTCCAACGGTCCGAATTCGGTCTTACAATTGGGCTCGTATCCCTTCGGAGGATCCGGAATTTTAGGCCTGTCTGGACCGAGCTTTGTGGACTTCTGCTTGACAGTTTGGAGCAGACGCAACTGCTGTTTCCACAGAGACGGTGCACTTCTTTTATAAAAACAACGCAGCATTTTCTTAGCTTTCAGTTAGACTACAAGTGTGTGTCTTTAAAAAACTAGCAATAATGACAACTACGGAATAGAATGCTACAGTGTCAGGCGGTCTACAAAATAGGTGATCTCTACAAAAGGGAAAGGCTTGTTGGATCCCAATTAGAATGTTGGTTTTTCTGCTTTATATTTAATTAAACAAAATACTTAATTTCGCTGACTTCCCATTTAATTTTTCGAAAAATAGCTTGGGACAAATTCGACCAAGTCATTTGCAGCTCTAAATAGTTTGTGGGCAATAAAGATTTATTATCTCTGTGACCCGGCCTGCCAATTTCCAAATCCAAGTCTATCTGCCTGAAAAATGATGGCAGCGGGAGGTTAGAGCTATGCGAGATGGACCTTTGTACATTTTATTCAAATTTGGGCTCAAATTAGAAATTGAAGGCCAGATCCAGACCAGCATTTTGGTCGAAATCCTTTTTTAAACGAGTTTCCTGGCCCAAGAGCCCAGACAAAGACTGGCAGCAAAGTAAATACGCCGGCCAAAGTTGTGCGACGACAAATTGGAAGACTGAAAGTAACGCAACAAATGCTGCCATAACGACAATGGGAGCAACAGCAGCAGCAATAAATTTGGCAGTATACAGGCAGCACATCCCACCCTCACGGCAAAGCCACCCACCCACTTGCCAGATGTGAGGAGCTCTTCCCACTGCGACGACATGTGCGAGTGCGTATACGTAATTTTCTATGAATCGAGCAGCGGCGGCAGAGGCAATAGCAGTGGCAGTGGCACAGACAGCCCCTTTCAATTTATGCAACCGACCGACAGCGATTCGCCTTTAATGGCAGCCAACAAAAGGCAGACCGAAAGCAGATGAACTGGAGATGAAGGTGAGGCACATCCAGCTACCTGAGAGGTTTCAATTAGCGCGCTTTGTGCGCCGAAATTAAATGGTGCTCGCACGCAAATGAGTTGCCAGCGACTTTGGCGGCGGGCTGCAGTTTGCTCGCGGCCAACTCATTAGCATAGACTAATGGGCCCCATGTGGCATCCTGCGGCGAGCACGAGATGCACTCCTGCTGCATTAGGAGATCCTCGGCAGGTGGCATGACAACGCACAAATCGCGGGTTTAATTGGGGGGATTGTTGACTTAGGACTGCGTAGGTATTTCAGCCACCCTGCCACCCAAAAGGCAACAGACAAGTTTCACCAACAGTTTGTGTCTGGTTTAAGGAAGACGCTGCATGCAAACAAAGCACTTGGAAAAATAAATTAAATAAATGTTATATTTTAAAAGTAATAAATAAAAGACTCTGGGCTTCCAAAACAATCGCATCCGTATCCTTCGTCTCTTTGCATGAAAGAACGCTTTGGTATAAGGCAAATATATTGATTGAATACCAACAGACTTGGAAACATTCAATTTGCTAGAGTGTTTGCCCTCTCGAACATAATGCCGAAAGGTGAACTGCAATCCCCCACAAACAGTCGACTTGTCGCGTTTCTCGCGGGAGGTGTTTGTGTTTGTTTTATGACCTCAGTTTGCTCAGCTCTGGTTGATTTCGTTATTATTATTGCTGGGTAATGTTTTATGGCCATTTTGCGGCTGTGTTCACACCAGTCAGCCAAAGACCACAAAGCCAGCGAGCGAAAACAATTCCGACAGCAGGCGGCGCACACTTTTCAGCGCCACAAAAGGCAAACAATCGACGCGCACCGGAGATTAGCTCTAATGGAGTAGCCATTCCAGTTTCATTTAAGTCCACAAATAACCGAACAGATCCCATCGCGGAATTCGCTCCCGTGTTTGCATTAGTAAATGCACTGTATACTCCATTTGGGGGCTTTTGTACTATGTGCTGAACACATTAACGATAGGATATTTCAGGTACATTACGGCTAACTAATGAATATTGGATTTCAGTTTTTTGTTTGTATTTAATAACGTACCTTTTTGTAATAAGGGGCTGAAGGTCACAAATATTTGTTTAAATATTTATTAAAATTACGAACAACACACTCCGTTTATGTCTAGTAGTAAGAAGTAGCCCAAGGATTGTTTCAAGTTCAGTATAGAGTATTTAATGGCTTCAACATTCCCTTCGTAAATTTATAGTCGCACATGACATTGTGCTTTTTTGTCCTTGGGCTCCATGTGTTGGAATGTGATTTATCAACCGTTTAGTGGTGTGTACAATGGACACGAACAAGACCCTGGGCAATTAAATCGAAAATAATGAACCTGCAGGACTGATCAGACTGATTGTCGAACCACTTTTTATGCTAAACACTCGTGGAGGGAGCGGGAATGGATTTCCCTTCCTAAGTGACACTAAACAGACTCTCAGCTAACTGCATTACCACACATTTGACACCTGCTACATGTGCCAACGAGTCGATATTGGCACACTAAACTAAACAGCAATCAATAGACGCCCCAAGGACACTTTCGCCGCCATCGACTTTAAATAAGCTAATTTACATGCACACATGGAGCTCTCGGTGGCAATTTGTAAGCGTCGACGACAATGCCGGCAAATTTACAGCCGACGGTGGCAGTTGCAAGTGGCGCAGCTGCACATTAATGACTGGGTTGGCTTGGCCCACTGGCATCCGACCACATCCAAGACCTCAGACGATTGTGGCTTGTCTTTACTCTGCCTTGCCAACTGCCTCTCGTTCAAGGGAATCCTTCGTTGGTGCTCTGTGGCTGCTTGTTTTCGTCATCAGACATCGACACATTATCGAGTGCGGAATTGAGAAGTTCACCCAACTGTTGCGCCGGTTGGTATTGGTTTTTCGGTTCAACAGAGATTTATGAATTAATTAATTAGGATGCGAAATCCGTAGCTCAAATAGCATGCAGATTTTGAGGCTTTGGGTTACGAAATATGCAGCACAAATATTGTTTCTATGCAAATTATCTCAGCTTGCATGCCTGAAGTTGCTCCAGGGAATTCAGTTAAAGAGCTCTTATTCCAGCTTATACCTTTTCTGTCCAATTAAAATTAAGTTAAGCACAACAAATGAATCAAGTATTGTTTAAAGTTACACAAAAGTAACGCCAAGTAAAACTTCCACTAGCTTCACTGTTGTTCAATGGCTTTCCACTTTTTGTAGCACACTTTTGCGGGCGGCAAATTAAAGGTGGCCAACGTGAATGCAATCTCGGTTATGGCCCAACAACAGGTACCAGGTAACCGAGTGAAAAGAGGCAGGCGAAGACCGTAAAATTCATATTTAAAAGCAGCGCCCGACGGGAAACACGTTGGGGAGCCCCATAAACAAAACTGAAAGTATTTATAGCATGCAAACACGCGGTGGACCATGGTCATTTGCATGCTGACCCCTTGCAAGCACACACATTACAGTATGTGTGGCACGTGTGAATGTGTGTGTGTGAGTGTGGAGGAATGGGGTGAAGGGTCAGCGGATTCAAGTTAATCACGTGCCATGAAAAGTCACGCATACGGCGCAACTGGCGACCCCTGCGAAAAGGCTTTGGACATGGGCAGACAATTTCGAAAGTCGTGAAATCAGGGCAGCCGAGTACATGGAACTAACTGAGTAATAATGCACACGAATACGCCGAAAAAAAAAACAAGCAGTGCAACGGATTGAGGTTGCACAAGTTTTGGAGGTCAGAGGCAAAACTTTAAGACAACAAAAACAGGAACCAAACAACTTTGAAAATGCAATCTCAAAAAAACACACACGATTTGTTTGCCCACAAAAAACACAGCAGCTTTATGTCCTATCTTGAATTTATCGCGGATATACAGCGCTTTTTGCTCACAAGAAGGAAAGTTCTTGGTTTTAATTCAAAATGTCGCGAAAGCAACGTCACCTAATTGCATCCAAGGCGTCCTTAAAGCCAGTCACGGGCGTAAAGTCCGCTCCGATAGTTCATTTCACTAGAGCAGGTTATGGCCAAAGCTGTGGCTGTAGCTGGGGCTATAAAAATGTCCGATTCCGACAATGCGTGTCAAGCTCATGCAGCACAAAGGAATTTTATTTGCGACCGGTTTACGAGCGGTTCCTTTGATGGCAATAACATGAACTGGCAAACTTTCCACTATTTATAACACTCAATTACCGACCAGAGTTACATAAATGCAGAAGGCATTGTGAAAGTACATTTGTTATATTAATGATATTAATGCCGGGTTTTCCTTCCAACTTTAAATTTGAAGAGTGTACTATTCCCATTTAATTTCCCACTAAAGACAAAACTACTGCCACCTTTGAGTGTGTTTTTCCAAGGTCAGATCGTTTTCCTCGCATTATGTGTTTCCTCGTGTTTAAATATCCCCGTCCCTTTCCCAAAACTTGCTTTCACGGGGTCACGCGCATAAATAAATTTAAAAAGCTGTCCCATTCGTTGCAACGGCTTGTCAACACTTTTCACCGGTCCACTTCAGACATGTGGTGGAAATAAGTTTTCCACTTTCCTATGCACGTAACTCAGAGGAAAGTTTTGGGATTCGCTGTAGTCCGAGTGACATAGGCCACTGTCTAATGGCTGAGCTCCACTTTGGATAACTGGGAAGTCGTGCCGAAAGATGTGTTGCATGCTCCGGGTTCCTGGCCATTAAGAGGCTTATGTCCGCATCGAAGGTGTGTTTGTCGATTTAATGTGAAAAGCTTGTTTCAACTTTAAACCGATTCCCATATTTGCACAGTCGGCCAAACGGAACAAAGGCCCCAAAGCTACCAACTGATCCCAAAACCCAAATCGCCAATATGCCGCCTTTGAATAAACGGTGGGTGGCGGGCGGTAGGTCGGTTGCGGCTGGTTAGAGACTAGCCATTCACGAGATTTGCATTTAACAGGGTCCGCCAATGCGGACTGGCAGGAGCCCCATGTTTGCTAATACATATTCGCCCGGGCCCTCAAAACGCTTGCCGAGCACAATGAATTGTGAATTGTGTGCGGGCGAGTGGAGCCGAAGGTGCAGGAAGCAGTAAAGGGAGTGGAACGTAAAACCTATTACAAAATATGTTTGTGTTTCATTAAAAATGAAAGACCTTCTGCCGACGCAAAAAAGCTAAGCGCCGTG